TTTCCCCTTTTAAAAACGCTTAAACCGTCGAAATGTTTGTACTCGGAACAGAGCCTTATCCCAGTAAGCTGTTCATAACATTTCATGTGTTTCAGTGGGGCTTTCCGCAGCCTCACACAAAACTTGATGTTGACACGGAACAACAACACTTCTGTGCTCCTGTAGCGGCCTCTCTCTGAACGAAGTTCATCACATGTTTATTTTATTTCAGTCTTATTAATTTTTGTCGAACTGTGTACACGCATTTACAGTCTAATCCACGTCTCATTCTGAGATCGTTATTTTGTTTGCTTGCTTCAACATAACCCTTCTTCGTTTCTTACTCTGGAAATGCAGTAAGTTCAACATTCCAACATTCCAAAGTAGTACAGTGCTACAACACAACTGATTTAGTATTCTGTCAATGACATCCTCAACAACTTAAACTTCAGATTACAATTATCTTCCCATTTATTAATATTTCCGACAGTATAAAAAATCCATTGAAATGCAATGAAAAATTACTTCTTTCTTTACTTAAGCCTCGCTATTTTGCTTTGTCTTCGTTATCCCTTTCGTACCATTATCTCCTTCCCTCCTTTGTCCCACAGTTCTGTATTATCTGTATTATTTGAAGACATTACATAAAAATGCGTAAATAAAACTAACTCAGTACTCTGTAAAACAGCATGAAAAATACGTAGTTCAAAACATGCCATTTTAAAAGAATAACAGTGAAAAATTTTAAACTATGTCTCTCTATTGTGGAATTTTAAAGCCGCCACCATCACCGTCACCGTCACGACCACTTAAATGTCTGCTCTGTGTGAGTACGCAGACAAATATCAAACTGGTTTCTACACAGTACAGCCAAGTTTAAATTTCATCGCTCACATATGAGATTTGAGGTTTTTAAAGCGGTGAAAGTGTTTATGTTGGTCTTCTGGGTAGGAGAATGCATCAGATCTGAACGCAGATGATAACATAATTAAGCAAAATCACTGAAATAATGAAAGATCACCTGAAGGCGGGAATATATTCAAATGGCGAAAGTTAATATCACACTGCTTATGTCTAAGAAATAAAGAATTTTCTCCAAAGGGAGTAAAGTGGACGACAAAGAGAAATTGAAATGCCTACTTAATTAATACCAGAGACATATCTAAAATGCATGATGAAAATGTCCCACACTACTAGAAAATAATTACAATCATGAAAGGGACAATTTTTAACAATTAGAAATTGTCCTCAGAAAATAAACAGAATACTTCAAACAAATTCTTCAGGCTTAGTGAACGTAGTATTAGAGAAGGTTGGAATTTTATTTTGAGCGTCGGTCATGCGTATTACTTAGCGTAATGCTGGGGCGTGGATGACCAATGGCCTTCGAATCTTGAGGCGGTTTGCACATAGAAGCAGGCGAAGAGCGCAATGCATCTGTGACGCATAAGAACTTTATCGCAAATAACGTGTTGCATCAGACTTTGAAGGTGACCTGCCTCGCCCTGGAAACGTTTTGTGTACTGCGACAGCCTCTGAGATGCATATTAGTCTGTTTTAAAATGTTCTGAGGGCTTGTTGAAACAAGATTTATAGATTGTTTCTTAGTTAATTTAACGACGCTTAGGTGTCCCACTATTAAAACGTTTATGTCACAGGCTCAGCACACAGTCCAACTACTGGCTTTTGTGAATATGGCAATGGACATTTTAGTTCCATAAAAGCAGATAATTTCCCGATTAGCTGAGCAGCAATAGACTTTTCACTTAAGACCTCACGCTATGGAGTTCGTTAACCATTTCTTTAATTAAAAAGCAATTTACGGCTTCAAGAAACCAATCGTTATTTTAAAGAATTCATATTTTTATCCAAATATTTATCAACAACAGTGACTGTTCGTGAAGTGCATTAACGCTCACCATGAAAAAGGTTATGAAGGCAATAAAAAGTGACTATTACAGTTGAGGATTATTGTATGTAATACTTCCTATAATTCGAGAGACTGCATACGAGACGATACAAGGAAAACACACAACAACACAATTACTGGGTAGAAAAAGCATTGTTCAAACGTGTCCATTGTGTTTGCACTCGTTATATAAAACCGGGAAACTACGCCGAGGTTGTCAGTCGAGCTGCCGCTGTTACCTTGTGAAGTGGTGTATCCGTGCTGTCGTCCGTTGCGAATAACTACAGTGAGTATTCAATAGTTCATCTACAAGTATATTATGGCAGTAGAGACAGAAGAATGTTTTCTAATTTTTCAACAGTTTTCATTTGTGGCCCATGAACATCTACACTCGATATATTTTCATTACCCCCTTTTGGTCACGATTACCAATATAAGTCAATGTCAGAGAAATCAATGCGCTGTTATCGTAGGGAAACAACAAAGCTAGAACTTCAGTGCTTACTTATGATCTTTCCTGGCCACAATAAATTCAGTTTAGTAAATCATTGGAACACTGCCGAAAGTGGCAGCATTGTTCTGCCGTTTAATGCCTGAAAATTTTTCGAAATTCTGGTGGTAACATTGCGATCGTTATTTGGTTATTTATTTGTTTCTAGTTAACTGTTCGAGTTTCATACAGTTTATCAAGAAGGTTATACCATAAGAGGTTTCTACTCCATATTTTCTATAATCACTACTTTTATCCTTGCTAACAGGGCGACCGTGCGAACATTTGGGCTTGAAGCAAAGCACGCACTTCTGTACCCACAGGTTACCAAAGTGTGGCCCGAAGACCACCAGTATTTCTCGACAATCATTCTGGTGGTCCGCAGAACAAATAAGATTAAAGAAATTATTAAACAAAATTAATAAAAGCATTTTAACAAATAGGACAGAACTGACAGGAACTTCATTATTCTCTTTTGTGGCTCGAAGCTTCAGCAGCGACTAGCCAGAGATTATTTGTTCACTTTAATTTTTCTCATCTTCAGCATTTGTGGCACAACACATTACTTTTGTTAAACAACGGGAAAAATGTAGTGATGACGTCAGCCAAGGCCTTCAGCATTTTTCAAGTGGTCTGGGGAAGATAATTTTTTGGAACTACTGTTACTCTATGATATGCTATGTTACGATGTTTTGTACGATGTGTAGTTTCTGAGAACATCGCTAAGTTCGATTTCAGGCTTCATGTAAAGTATGATTTGTATTTGGTCTTTTGTAAATAAAATTAAATACAGTCCCTGCACTACATTTGGAAGGTATTTCATTCGTGACCGCCCTGTGTTAATTTACGTGGACAACTTTACACGTATATTAATTATTTCCGTTATACACTGCAGTAGTTTACTTTTGTGAAGAATTAATTATCAGTGCACAGAATAAAACAAATGACTGAAGAGTTATAACAAATATGTCTACGTTAGTCTTGATGCACACAAGTTCACGCTAAGGTCTACAGCGCGATTGAAACGCTGTATAAGACTATGACTGTGCGACATTTCCAGGTGTGCCAAAAGAATTATCTCAGGCAATTTATTAGACAAACTAGAATAAACCATTGACTCTTAAGGGAAATCTTACTCTTTGATGGGTTTTATAGTTCTAAATAAGACTCCAACAGGCCTGCTTTAACGGTTAGGACAAAATCTATCTGAAAATCCATATCCTGCCCTCTTTTTTTGTGTACCCTGTGTCAGACCAGAGTCAAGGTAATTCGTGCTGTATTTGGTTGTGCAATAAGAAACAGTATAAATAAAAGTCTGTATTTTTAAAGTAACCTTGATTATCTAGTTACTTATATCCTATTCAGGGATTATTTCTTCGAAGATGAAATAATTTAGGATTAATATATCAAAAATCGCTGATAAATATTAAAATGATTCAGTTCATGGAACTTGGTATCTAGAACTAAGGAAAAACGTAGATTATGGCTGCTTCAAAACAAAATTCAAGATAATGGAGAGGTTAAGAATTGGCTCCAGGGCAAAGAAATTTCGGGTTAACCATCTTAAGAAAAATCCTGCACGTTGCAGTTAAATTCATATAGTTTTACGTGGTAGAGAATTCACGCATGCGTAATATTGATTTTTGAGGTTCTTTCCTGAATACTGCAAAACGTTGCTAACCACGGAGATCACAATGTGAACCAGCCACCTCACAAGTTCACTTAATCTGTGAGTCTGACTGCATGTACGTATAAGTATATTTGAATTTAAAACTAAGGGACGTGTAACCGATGTATCAGTTCAACTGTTTTGGTTAAAGGGGTGTGTGAGTTTAACCGTTGTAGTTCGCAACCTCAGAATCCATCTGGGTTACGTCAAACAAATTTAAGAAGACAAAGGAGATGATGCAGGATTCTAGGAACTTCATAATGCGTGACTGAAAGAGACATTCTCTGTTTAATCGCCTTGGAGATAACATTTGCTGGTTGAAATGTGTTAGTCAGGACAGGATGACGCAGGAGATGAACATGGGATCGTAGCTGCAGACTCGCCCTTCCGTCACGTACAATTCCAAGTTTCCGGTGGAGGGCTTTGGTTAATTCGGTGATGAACCTTCGGGTTCGGTAAGCCATCTAGTTAGTTAGTTCTAGTTTGATTGAAGACGTTATTCTAGTTTATGGCGCCTGTAAACTCGTCGGTAGATGCCAGCGTTTCTCCATTTTCAGGGCTGAAATTTGATTGTTCGTTAGACTGGTAGCCATTTTGTGAGGTCGTTCAGTGAAGTGACTGGCTACGGGCTGGACGTCCAGTCTTCGACTTCCGATAGAGGCAGGGGATTTTTTTCACCGCCGCTTCCGTCCAACCACCGGATTAAAGCAGCCACAGAGCCAATCTGATCATCCACCCCTATCTAAAGTGCTGACGTTTCAAATGAGTCCATATTTACCTCCACGACCCCATACATCTTCATGGCCTGGTTCTTAGGCACATGGACAATTTTCCACCTTGTAAGAACATACGCTACATCCTTCCGATATTGTGCTCTATCATGGATGAGTAATGAAACACTACTAACATCGGTTTATTTCGAGTCAATTAAATTGGTCAGCAGGTTTACATTACATTACTTTACATTACATTCAGCTACCACAGACCCATCTTAAGCGTAACTAATTCAAGTTAATTAAGCAATATCTTAATCAAACTTATCTCAATTGTAAAGCATGTATAAAGGAAATATTTAGAATAAAGCCAATATATAAACTTCCTTTCCGTATAGACGCATTTACGTCAAAGTCTCCGGAACCGTGGTTCCACTACCACTTTTTTACATTCCCTTCAAACTCGCTATTCTAGGGTTCCACGCTCTGATGTTTCGGTAAGAATAGGCTTTGAAAAGAATCCACTGAACTAAATGGTATTACGTACGCATTTCCCCAGTTTATTCTGCTTTTAATTCTAACACAAACTACAGTCTTAAGCTGCCGTCTTTCCCAAGTTTTAACATTTGATCGAGGATTTATTTAAATCCATGGAGCAGGGTACGCAACTCGACAATTCAGATTCTTCATTAAGTAATGTTGTTATCGAAATAGTGATATTTACTTCTTTTCAGGAATTCGCATTCTGCTACGGTCTTCCAAGGTTTTTTATTATCATCTAATTTGTAACTGTCGTCACAAAAACCAGCGCTAAAAATTCGTTGACACCAACATGAAAATATACTGTTAACAAAGCTAATAAAGAATAAATGAATATATTATCTTCCCCGTGTATTTCGTGCCAGTAACAGGTAACTTTAAGACGTGGTAGTTATCTTATTTAGATGTGGTATTAAATATTAAAATGTTTCGTTTTGTACATCTCATTCTCGCGTGTTGCAAGATAGGGACATGATTTTTAAATTGTGTTTCGTAAAATATACTACACTGTACCCCAACAATAATTTTCAGAAAAAATGTAGGTTTTTATTTTATATGAGATAGTGTCTTTATGATTAGAAATCTTTTATTTAATTAATAACACTGAATTTAATATTACGTACGTAGTCAATATGTTTAACCAACACAAAATAGATCAGATTTGCGTAACAACGTTTGGTGATGAACCCCAAACCTTTTTTTGTTTCGAAATCCGTTCAGTAGATTCGGAGCTGAAATATATGGGTGGACAGACAGTTAAACACACACCGCTTCTGTGCATATCGTGCAAAACACACGTGCAGTTTACAAAATGGCTATGTTCGTCTGTCTTTAAGTAAGTATTCTGACAAACTGCGCTAATGGTACATAACAATTCTAAAGATTGCTATCTTCTGGATTGTAGCGCCTCTGAAAGTTGGTGGTCATCTACCAGACTACACGGCGCAACAACTCAGAAGACTCACTGCTGTGAAAACCTGAAATCTTACATGACTATTCTATCTGGGTCACAAAATTGTATACTTTTGTCTCAGACTCATAAATATTTAAAAACAGAGTAAGAACTTCACCCAAACTCGATTTTTAGGCTTGATACAATTTTTGACTATAATTCGCGTCTGCAGTACCACATAGTATTTGTAAGATAATTATGAACACAGGATGTAATAGGCATTTGAAAATAGTAGGTTTTAAATACACACACTTCAGTACGTTCCACAATAGTCTTGTTGCTTTATTATTACGTTACGTATGAAGCTGGTTATAACGATATTGTATTTTATTCCAGCAGCCTGCAATAGACACAACATGAAGAAAGAACTTCACGTCAACTTCCTATTGGGTGTTGCGGTGACACTGCTTATTTTGAGTGCAACGCAAGTTAATTGTGGCGTCATAGTTGGTAAAGTAACAGAGTATAAGGTTTAAAGAGTTTAAAAAACAAATCCGTTTCTTGCTACAAATTCAGAACAAGTGAATTTTTGTAAAAAAAAAAAAACACATTAAATGCTAATTTATTGAAAGCATCATTGAGATTGCAATTTGTTACTTGGAAATCGTGTTATTCACACTTGTTTGATATATTTTACTGCCTTTGGAGAGTGTTGTTATGTAGTTTTCCGTCGTAGTATATCTCGCACGAGCGTTCTCACAACGATCCCAGCGCCGCTGCCAAGCCTGGAAGCATCCCTGGAAATCTTTCTTTGTCAGCCTGTCAAGCACCATCTGCGATTCTGCCTGAATCTCTTCTATCGTCTCAAATCTCCTTCCCTTTAGCTGAATTTTCATCTTTGGGAAGAGGAAGAAGTCACACGGAGCTTAGAAAGGAAGTTGGGGTCGGTTCTTGCAAGATCTTTGAGCTCCTGACAAACGAGAAGTCGATTCTGCTTCTGGTCCTCAGACAGGATGCGTCGCATGTGGAGTTCTTCCTTTAGAATCAGCTGACAGGTCCCAACAATGTCGCACAAGTCGTTGATGGTACGACGTCGATCTTCGTAACATTTTCGGGCGTTGTGCTCGAAGATGGTCGTCCAGAATGCTCGTCATCATCGACAGGGGTTCGGCCATTTTTAAAACGTGAATGCCCCACAAAAGTTTGTGCACGACCCATTTCGAAGTATTTCCCCAAATGCTTGCTTTAGCATTTCATAGGTTTCCGTAGCCGTTTTGGCGAGTCTTTGGCAACATTTGATGCACACGCCATTCCGAAATCGCAGGAGGGTCGGTGTAATGCACTACCAAACCGCCCGTAACTAAGAAACAAATGCTAATTCGATGATGCCGGCTGGCACACTGATTCACTATGAATGTAGGCCGCACCCCCTAGCGGCAGAAGCTCGTACTACATTCGGTTCGCCCTCTATTGACACAGTCTTGAAACTTTCCGATCGCACCTCGTATAACATTTAATTACGGTAACACTTTTAATACCAATGGCAAATAGATCATAAGAAATTTTAATTTGTCTATGACATTTTAAACGTATAATTATTAAATACAATTTCGCAATGTAAGAAACATTATTGTTCGCACACGTATTATAACTAACAGACTTTTAAATTGCTCGTGACGCTAAGAGAACACTAGGCTTATTTCATTTTTATTATTTACTGAGGCGAGTTCTCCACTCAGAAGGCTGTGTTTGACACCGTGTGACAGGCTTGTAAAAGTAATTCTATAAAATTCAAAAGAAAATGCAAGAATAACCCATTTCTCGTTGAACTGTGTCACTTTTCTGCAATCAAATTCAAGATGAGCATATTGAAATACTATTAAGTAACAAATGTATTTCGTACAGTTATAATTAAAATAACTTTTATTGTATATGAGCTCAAAGAGTTTGTGCGTCTTCTAGAACATCCTTGCAGTAAACCAGAAACACTGCATTACAATGCTATTTAACTCTAAAGTTCTCCTTAAGTGCAGTCGCCGTTGAAGTAAAACAACTTTTATAATGAGACTCGTGGAAGGAAACATAATTATGTTCAGGCTTTACATTATATGCATATGTGGGTTTAAGGCATTTATGCTTGTTTTTGTAATATACATAAATCGCGTCTTTCTATCCATAACTCGTAGGAAATTTAAATTGGGTATTTTAACAAAAATTTTAACACAATTAACATTTAATATTTAAAATATATTAAAATATATTAAAATGATGCTCTTTCTATCGAAAATGTTCGATTTACAATTAGAGCATCATCTTTTTCACGACATGTTTCGGTTTTCAATGAACCATCTTCAGGTGTACAATCGATATAAATTGTACTTTATTATCACATTCATGTGATAATAAAGTACAATTGATCTAGAAGAGGATAACTTTCCGATATTTAATGGACATCTGACGAAGGATTGCATTTAGAATATTACATTTGAATTTATATCGATTATACACCTGAAGATGGTTCATTGAAAACCGAAACATGTCGTGAAAAAGATGATGCTCTAATTGTAAATCGAACATTTCGATAGAAAGAGCATCATTTTAATATATTTTAAATATTTTAAATATTAAATGTTAATTGTAGTAATAATATTTTGATATTTTAATATTTAATAAAATATTTTATTGTGATTAGACGGTTAAATTAAAAAACAATTATAATCATCACAATATGACGCAACATTATCATCTCAAAAATATTAATTTGTTTTATAAAAATAAACTATAAATAATACAGGTGACTAGTTATACGCGCTTTGGCTGCCCGCGGTTAAGTTGCCGCGCAGGGCCACTTAGTTGCGAGCGCAGTTTCAATGA